ATGAGATGTAAGTATGAAAAATAATAAAGTGGAAGTATAGCCTTGATATAAATTTGAACTAGAACAAAAGCTTATAGTCAGTTGTCGGGCGTAGGAGTTGTTAGTCCCTTGAGGAATATAGGCCCAGTATCTTCTTCAGCTGTAATTTTTTATCCAAACTATTTTTGCCTTGCTAGTGCATCATTTTGGAGGAACTTCTTCTTAAGCCTTGTGGATGTATTCTTCTCTCATTGGCAAGGGAATGCGCGTAGTGTTCAACAGGCAAATGCCTTGAACTCGATTTGGCAAGCTTTCTATGAGTTTGTTCTGAGCATGTCTTCACTAGTCTTCTTTGGAACCGACTAGAGAATCCACCTTGTAGCTCTCTTTCTAAGCAAATTTACCCCTAGGTTTTATACTTAACAGCAAAGGCATGAACCACTTAGATTCTCTATGATTAACATTGAAAAGGCTTTAGCACTGATGTTCTCCTTGTTCAAGAAATAAATATTACTCTTTTATTTTCTATTAGCCTATCTTTTAAAAAGAAAAAAAATGTCTACAATATTCTTACAGTCTTAAGAAAATCAAAATTTCTCATAGTAATTTTATGTTAGTTTTCAAAGAAAATAACGGCAGCCCCAAAAAGAACTTTTAATTTGATTGCTCTACAATCGGAGTTTGCTTTTGGAGAAATATTTACGTACGGAGAACACACAGCACTTCGTGCGTAATCCACTCCCAATAACCCCTCGATAACCTCTACGAAGGTTATTGGGGGTTATTGCGAAGTTATTTCGGTGTTATTTGGAGTCAATGCCTTAACACTAGAGAAAATGTGAAAGTGTAACCACGGAGTATATCGACTCTAAATAACGTCGAAATAACTTCGCAATAACCCCCCAATAATCTTCGCAGAGGTTATTGAGCGATTATTGGCAGAGGATTACTCACGGAGAGCTACGTGCGTACTCCTTACATGAATATTTCTCCAGATTTTGAAGTCATGTATTCATTTACCCACACAAAAGAGCTAACGGCACAACAGACTTCAGTAGCCAGATCAGAAAAACAACAAATCAGATTTCCACATGGCACCCATAAACTCCTCAGAGAACCTTTGATTAAATCAGAAGAAAACAGAGATAAAACAGGGACACCGTCAAGTTAACGTGCATTAAAACCTGCTGCAATACCAAAACGATAGCCTAAGTTGAAACTTCATAACATACAACAGCAACAACAACAAGCCTTTTATCTCACCTTTATCTCACTAAGTGGGCTCGGCTGCATGAAACTTCATAACATGCCAAGGAAATAACAAACGGACAAAATCACAACCATTTCAGCTCTAGCAATGCCAACTGAACATGCCAATGTAACCAAAACCAAACAATAGTAGTCTCAGGTAAGGTAAATAAACACTCATGATTTATCTATCATTTCACCAACTCTAAAAATACACAAAGCGTGTAAAAGGGACGACTATGAGGTTCTAAACTGTATAAAATTTTTAGGTGAAGACACAGAAATACAAAAGTAAGGAATTTCAAGGATGCTTCTTTGAATCGGAGTGTGATAAGGTGAGATCAATGGAGTGCAACTGGTTGCGAAGATTCTGGTTGTCTTCCAATAGGCGGTCATATTCGATGAGAAACCCCTCCGACTGCTTCCTTAAAGCTGTCATGTTTGCATCGGCGGCTTTTAGTTCCTTCAGCTTCTCCTCGTTTTTGGCTTTAAGTTGATTTATCTGTTGGTTCAGTTTGGCAATCTCTTCATCTCGCGCTTTGATTTCATCAGAGCCGCCACTTTTTGATTCTTCTAATGCCCTGTTTTGCTTCGTTACAGTCAGCTGCACTGCGTTTTCGGCTTTAAGTTGATTAATCTGTTGGTTCAGTTTGGAAATCTCTATATCTCGCGCTTTCATTTCATCAGAGCCGCCACTTTTTGATTCTTCTAATGCCCTGTTTTGCTTCATTACAGCTTCCAAGCTCTTTCTCAACCCACGCAGCTCTCTAATGTAATGGTGCAATCGATCGATGATAAGAGCAAGAAGCAGCGAATAGCCTGCAGTGGTTCAAAGTACAAAATGGACTAGAAATCCACAAGACCAGGCTTAAGAAATCCATACATGAAATATGCCACAAGATAAACACCACACTAACTTTGTAAAGCAATCTTTGGTAACTTAAAAAAAATTTTTAAAATGTCTCCATAAGCTCAGCTTAGCTATCATCACCATTCTTAGCCTTGTCCCTTCAATTTGTGATCCGCATCATTCATCCATATTTAGACATGCGAGCAGAGCTCGAAGAACAAGGATAGCTTAGCCTTATTTGGGAGATCAA